TGTAGAGTTATGGTTTGATAAAAAGGATGTCCCAGCAGGTTACCGTGAGAATAAGGATCTACAAAATACAGGTTTTCATTAGCTCAGGGCTTGTGCATGCATCATACTGCGTCTCTTTCTTCTCTCTCCCACAACACCCTGTAACCAAATACCACAACTGAATGAGATGGTAAATAAGCCACAGACACATCTTAAACTTCAAAAACACAGGTGCTCTCATAACTTTCCATCTCTCCCCCTTGAATCAGAAGCTGAAAGGAACAGAAAAATGTATACACGAAAAGGAGTGATGTTACAAAGGCTTCCTTTTTAAGGAACAGAGTAAGGAAACTTGCCTCAGACAACAGTATTAATTAATTAGTTCTTATTTAACAGAACTTGGACAAAGTGGATATGCAGTGTTATACTTAGGTATCATACAGAAATGGGTGTCACAACGTTTACTGCAGTAAATTCAGCTTACTTTGCCACTCCAGACTCATTCTCTCAGCATCACACAAGAACCTCTCCTCCTCCTCCCTCTTTGTTTCCCTTTCCTTTGTCTTAACCCAACACAACCTCAGTGGCATGTAGTTTGACAACCAGTAAAGCACAAATGGGGCTATGATGGCTCTGCCTCTGCTTTGCTCCACATCCCCCCACCCATGCACACAAACTGCTTGCTCCTTTCTGAGGTTTATACGCCACAGCAGCAAAACCAAACCATTATGCTTCAAGAGCTGTTCACTCAACTCCTCCCACCTCTTCATTTTCCAGTAACCTGGGAAAAGGTTGGGAAATCCAAAATGGTAATAAAGCAGAAACCAAACTTTCAGATCGTTTCTCACACAGGCCAGCTAGAACCAGGCTCCCTCATCAGCTGACGTTCTGGAATTCACATCTTGCAGTAATTCACTCCTGGTTGGGCACACTATTGTGCAAAATAATTGAGCAGCAAGGGAACGCGATACTTTCAGATGATAAGGCTTTAACAGACTTGTGTTTCAGAAACCTCTATATAAATTTCAAAAGGCTTTTGAAACTCTAGAAAAGTGTCTTGGCCTCAGATGCCTTTTGAAATAAATAATGTCTTGATTACCCTAGTAAGAAGGATAACTTGTAGTGCTCCGATTAATCTTTAAGAAAGGCCAGTACCTTCCACTGTCTACTGCTGAGCATGCTGTCCCAGCCACGGCTTACAAACTGCTTTTCGGGTGGGAACAGACATCTTGAAGCTAAGATGATTACACGGATGTCCTGATCATTGAGTGCTTTAAGCTGATCTTTAATCCAACAGGTTCATAATTTTAGGTGCGCTCTTGAAATCCAACAAATGAGGAGAAATGTGGAAGAGTCACTACAGAAACGCTAAACCACATATACTATGCAACCTACAGAAAAAGCAATATACCAGTTATTACTGTCCTTCAACATACCATGAAAAGGAAATATGTCCATGATGAATTGTGAAAGCCAGCTTTTTCTGAGTTTTTGAGTGCCTGAGCATGCTTCAAAGTTGCAGCTTTTTCTTATCATAGAGAAGACAGGGAGTCCTGAGATCTTTAGATAAAGCTTTCAGTAGGATGTTCCCAAAAAATTTTCCTTGGCTTGAAGGGAGGAGGTTGCTATCACACAGAACTACCAATTCAGTGTGATGCTAGTAAAAATGCTCTGACAGAATTCCAAGAGAGCAGCAGGGGTACAATGATCAGCGTATGGCAATCGTGATTTGCAAAAATGCGGCTGCAGCTCCATGCACCACAACGGGTGGACACTTGGTGGAGCCTCACTGAGCAGGGTGCTCCCATCTGCCCTCTTGTGCAGCGGTGCTTTACCCAGCCCTTCACCCCAGGTGCCAGCAGTCCTTCCCCATCATCTGCCAGGCTGTGTCCCTGCTGTGGCTCCCTTCAGCAAGCACCACAGCCCACAGAAACAGTGCATTTGGAAGCCACTTGTATGAAATATTTGTAAAGAGAACAAAAGGGAACTTTTCTCCCCCACTGACTTCTATTCTAGTTGCACGACATTTTGAGTGTGCTCATACATAGTGTGAAAAAACACGGTGGGTAATGTGACAGAGCTGGAAAAAACAGGCTTCAGCCAGAAGGTTCTCTATGATTCTATGAAAGAGGGTCTGCCAGGATCTTGTAAGGCAGCGATCCTTTGCCCTCCTCTCCTGATGCTGCTGGTCCTCCATGGAAAACCCATGTCATACACATCAGCCGAGGAACTGCAGCTCTTGTCAATGGCTGCATCCTAGTCCTTGCAAGATGAAGCCAAAAGAAACATCAGCCCTGACAGACCTTCAGGTGCAGCCGTATCTATTGCTGATTCTCTGTCCTCTAAATTTGTGCCTGAGCTACATAATGCAGCTTAGGGAGCAGGGCTGAGAGGTCTTCTGCGGAACGTGTGTGATAGGAAGATGGGAAAACAGCAAGCTGAATCAAGGCACGGTTTAGAAACACTACAGCTCAAAAATAATGTGGTTCTTATCCTGATGAACGTTTTTCTGTGTGGCTTGTAAGGTCATTGCTGCTTTGGTGCAGTGGTGCCTGAGCATGTGTCCCAGTCCCCTGTTAGCAGTCTTCATGCTGAGGACTACAAATTGGTGCAGCATTTATACACTGCTTTCTTTTACAAAAGTGCTATGTATCTCACAACTTCTAAGATCCACCTGATGGAACTATCAAACCAAAGCTCATTTCATCCTTTGGGTTATTCATTAGACAGACCACCAAAAAAGAGGGGAAAAAACCAAATCAGTAAGTTGGGATCTACGCAAAGTCCCAAAATACTTCTGAAGGGTGCCTGTCAGAACAAACAAATGTACCAAAGGAACAGACAGCCTTATGAATCAAGTAAAGAAATAAATGAAGGGAAAACATATGAAAATTTCAACAACCATGCCAATCTGTTGCGAGCTGTACCCGTGCCAGTGAGCGGCCTCGGGGCGCTGTAGGATTCCTCAGTGCAGTGCCAAGCTCCAGCAATATTGTTATGGTTAGAGAGGAATTTCTCACAAGACCTAACAAAGGCAGAAGGTCATAAATAAACACAGCAGGATCGCCTTGTCAGTTCTCATTATTAGCGCTGCAGGCACTTGCTTTTCTATGGGCTGCTCACAGGTTCATTTAACTGTAAGAGCTCCTCCTCAGAATTTCACATGCTCATAAATAAAGACAACATTTCTTAAGAAAGAAAGGCACACCTAAGTTATTTTTTATTATTACTTTTTATGCACACAGGGGCATATGTGCGCAAGCTGCTTGGACTTTCTGCAGCTGCCCTGTCCATATGTACCCACATGAGCTCCTGGCACTCACCAAAAGCTTATGTGCTGCTAACCCAGAGCTGCAGCATCCTTCACTGACCTCCGGTACGCTGTTATGGCCTCTGTCAGACTGTGGCCACAATGAATGAGGAGAGCCTTCCTACTGTCATAATGGTCACCAGAATTACAACTGGGCAGGAAATGAGGCTGAGCAACTAAACCGATCCTGACACGCGTTATGCAACTAGGAAAGCACAGCTGTGTGATCATTACTGCAATTAAAAAATGACATTTAGTGTTAACTTTCTTTTCTTACTGGATTTTGAAACAGGGAGTGGGCAGTACCCGTAACTCCAGGGGTACAAACGTGCAAAGAAAGGAGGGAAAAGTTCTTAATATCAAAAGTGCTGGTCCTTCATCTTCTGTCAGAAGACGTTTGTTAACAAACAGCCAACTGAAAACACATCACTTCTCTCATACAAATAACTACCTATCTATCTATATTCATACCTGTGTGAGTGAAAAGTAAGCTGTGTAAAACCAGATACATATTAAATGCTGATTTCAAGTTGCATATGTAGAGTTTTTCAGGATATTAGGCAAAATTTAGAGATCAGCAACACTATCTCCAGAATAGTTTTAATTTTCTGTTTATTACACTGGAATAAAAAAATGTAAAGATGTGAAGAAAGCTCAAAGGTCACAACCTTGGAAACACCACCATTAAATTAAAAGTAAGTAAAACAACAGGCCTCTATACAAACAGGGGACAACTGGGGATGCCTGGTACCAGGAAGAACACTGCTCAGTCACCATTCCTTCCAACATGAGAGAGGTAGTAGAGAACATAATTACTTCCCTGCCAAAAAACACCCCAAACACGGCTCCCTCCTGTGAACTGTACTGAACGCTAATGTGCTGGTTCATTAAACAGTTGTGTCTACCTTTCTAATGGGCTAAAATACGATCAATGTTACTGTTACTATAATCTGTTCTATCTCAAATTCTCACCTTTTAAAGCAAACTGCATGACTGACAAGCAAAAGTCCTGGTGCCTTGTGTGCTTTCTGTAAGAAGCTGGGGAAAATCACTCTCCTTCCAGCTTGCTTCCCATCCAATCACCTGCTATCAAAGGAAGTCAGGTTGTTAGTCCTGATGCGTTACAGCAGAAAAGCCGTGTTCAAAGAACTGTTTTCTCTCAGCCTTGCAGCCCTTCATTACACACCATTCATCATTATCAACATCAGGAGTTGTTGGATCAGCCCTCGTGAATGAAGAATCTCCCTATTTAACTTTTAAGGGCTGCCAGCTTGCTCCCTTTTGCCTCCGTGCTCAGGCAAGGGTTTTCACTTTAGGCAGCAGGGTGCCAGCCATACTGTGGGCACCTTCTTCACACAGCCCACCCTGACATGAGGACAACAACCTCTCCCTCCAGCCAGCTAGAACGCACGGAGCCATGTTCCAAATTGCTTACCCTATTAAGCTGGCTTCTACTAAACACAACACTGAAGGTGCTGGGAAACACGCTTTCTGCCTGCACACCAGCAATGGTATGCTACTCAGATCCAGCCTGCTCCAGAGGAAAGAGCTGCTAGAAAAGGAAGGAGCTGGATAATAGTTTCCAGCTGGTCAGTTCCTCAGTCTCCCTCAATCAGCAGGCAAGGTGCCGCTAGGGCACAGGGCAGGCTGTAATCCCCCCTGCAAGCACAGAAATGGAGATGCTTCTCTATTTCCAGCCTCTTCCCTGTACCAAATTTCCCTGACTCCCCACCATCTTGATTTGGGCCTCCAGCTTCTGCACTGTGGCACCATCTTGGCTGGTGGCTCCTTCACCAACCTTCACTTCACTGCATACCCGCCGTGGGGCAGGAGGCCCGCAGCGCTGCCGGCTGTGGGGAGAGAGCTCAGCACAGCAGGGCCCGAGCGCCTCATGGGCTGAGGAGCAGGGCGTCTGCTTCCTGCTGCCGCAGTGCTCAGGGCTGCGCTGCCTCTAAACACACCCTCCCCACGGCAGGCAGCACGCGAACCCACCGGACACCCCCAGAAAGGGAATTTTTGTCTGATAAAACACAATCTCTCTCTTACTAATTCAATTTTGAAAACTTACTGACACACCGTAAGTACAAGAACGCTCCAGAAAACGAATGTGTAAACTAAGGGGGTAGGGGTGTGTGTGTGTCCGTCCCCCATAATAAATTGTATTAAAAGGATAAGCACACGGAAATTAACATTTTTGTTCTCCTTACCCACAGAGTAAGACGTAAGAGAACGGAGCTGGGAAGACAGCCCACTCTGTGAATCACAGGCCACTGAAGCAGGCCATCTGTGACCTAGCACGGCTCTCCTCACGTGAGCTCACGGCCCGTCCCTCCGCGGCTGCAGACGGTGCACAGCTTCACGGTGACTCCTGCCATGTCGTCTTGACCCGTGCATCTCAAGTATGGGTGTTTCTGAGGCAGGGTACCCCCGTCAAAGGTAGAACTTAAGTATTTTTTCCCCAATTTCTTTCCTTATTGATATTTTTAAGACATTTACCTACCAGGCACATTGCAATTAATTTATCTTCCCTGATCAAAACACATTTACTTGTGTAGAAACACTCCTCTGCCACCGATTTCAAAAGGGGAGCCGGGTTTCAACCCACTCGCTCAAACGTGCATTTGTGTTAATTCTTGCCTCTTGTTAATTACTTCAGAAATGGAGGAACACACAAGTCAGACTTAGACCTACTAACTGCTGTGAGCTATGAACAGCATTAAAGCCTAGAAGGATGTTTCTAAGGGGTCTTTGCAGCACAGTGAAAAGACTTTCAGGTTTCAGAGACACTTTTCCCTCCCCCCCGCTTCTTTTTTTAGGACGAAACAGATTTTTTTTGTTCTTCAGTGTTTGTGGTCGTATTTCAGCAGCATGATACCCATGGCTTTTTGGCTTTTTTGATATCTTAAGCTTATTCTACACAGTTACACATGTGGAGCTACATAAAACATTATAAAAATGTTTCAAGGACTACAGATTTCTAAATTAAATACGTTCCCATTTTCAGCAGTATACATTTCATTGCCACAGATATACTACTGTGGAGTTTTTTCTCTAGGAACAGGAAATATTTATTTTGTAGAGTCTGAAAAAGGTCATTTTACATTTTTTAAAAGTGTGGAAAAATTATGCAAAGAACAGTTGAGGAAAGGAAAAAGAGCAGGAGGCATATTTCTTATAAGAATTATGGAGGTATTTTCTTGTTACAAAATATCATTTGTTATTTTTCAATCAAAGAAAACTGCAAGGAAAGACTGAAAAGGTTGAACCAACTACTCTCAAAAAATTATGAATGTGCCAAAAAAATCACAAATAGCACATTAATGTCAGAGTGTTGGCTCCCGTTGACTTCTCAGGATTTTAATTTTGCTTTTTAAAGGTAGAAAAGAGTGGAGAAGCAGAGAAGGCATCATTAGACTAAATCCAGCCTGCCCAGCCTTAATTTTTTAACCTAAAACCACCGAACTGAGTCCATGATCTATATCCGTTTGTACCTGACCACTTCAGCCGTCCCTGACACTTGACCTGCTTCCAAAAAAGCAAGAAGTCCAATTTAAGTTGGCGGTCCTATGGGGAGGTAATGGTTTGACCCTTGTCCCCTCCACCGCAACTGTTCCAATTCTCTAATGATTTCCCTGCAGGGTTCATTTACCAGTTCTGGGTCAAAGACCAGCTCATCCACGAAGGCAAGGGGCAGCACAAGCGCTGCATGATGGATTTGAAAATAAGTGCATCGTAAAGGAAACCTCCATCAATTAGGGGTGGCCTTTGAATTCAAAACAAAAGGAAGCAAAGTGCAAATCATAATGTCTATTCTGTTCACTTTAGCGGCACACAGATACACGTGTTGAGAGACGTATTCTAGCCTAGCTACAGAACCAGCAGTCATCCTAGGACAAACAGTCCCCATTCATCCTCAGAGGGGATGGCCTTTTGCTCACTCTGAGCAATTGAGAAGTCGAAGGGATTCACTATTTGATTCCAGGCAAGCTTTTGATACATCTTAGTCTTCAATATTAACCACACTGTGACTCTAACCAGAAATATTAAGACCTACTGTAACTAAGAAGTAAAAGATTCTCCAGCTCCACCTACACTTTTTGGAATCTGTGGCTTCATTTACCTTTACACGGAACATTTTCCAAGAGATTCAAAAAGCCTGAAGAAACTTCTTAATAGTGTTTCAACATCAGCACCTAAAAATCACAATTTGTCTTTGAAACTGTTGTCTGCCTGTGTGCAGGAGTATGACTCTCCCTCCACTCTTCTGCCCAATACTAACATGTGGATGTTATTTTCTAGCACAAGAGGCATATAAATCTATATTCTGGCTAAAACAAAAGGCAAAAAAAAAAGTCCCCAAAACTTGCTAATGTGACTTTCTCCAACAATATATGTCTGGGAAAAAAAGAAGAAAAAACTGTGAGTGGTGAGACTGAGGACAGCCAAATTTAAACAGAGAGGGGAGAGAAAAAAAGGTAGCCAATGATAAAAAATGATAAACTGTGATAGCTGAACTTTTTAAAACATTTGTTCTTCACAAATTCAAAATCCAAAAGCTATGTAAAACCCTCAGTATTGAGCCCATCAAACTTGCTGACCTTGAATCTCATGAACTACCTCCCGAAGTCTTCAGTACTGTCATCTCTGTTTTGGCAAGAGCAAGGGTTGGGCAACAACCCCTGAGATCTGACTGAACAAGATGCAGTCAGGCTGGCTGAGAGCAAGCTTTTGCTGCCAACCACACCATATGTGACAGGAAAACTTTTGTTAATAAAAACCATATTGATGTACTTGTTAACGACTTGAACACCCCAGTAATTGAATTTAAACCAGTTAACTATTCACCAGGGCTTCATCAGCCCACCTCCTTCATATCCTCTACCCCTGTGTTATTTCAAAGCAACTGGAAGAGTTTTACACCACCACCACTCTTCCCACCACAACCCTTTCACTGAGATGAGAGCTCAGGAAGCCTAGCATTTAAGCAGCTCATTTAAAGTGCTCTTAACTGCATTTTTGACAGAACAAAGCAGTTTTATAACTCTCTCTATACAAACAGAAGGCACCGATCCGAGAGCTTCTCTTATTTTCCACCAAGAAGTTACACTGGTACTCTACAACTGTCTACCACCATGGCGACAAAGTCTGTCTGTCCCTGACCTAATACGGATCAATCCCATCAATGTTTCTGTAAGGGTTTTGGGTTTTTTTATTAAAAAGGATCAAGGAAAGAAACAAAGCCAGCCCCTCCCCCCCCCCACC